TCGTCGAGCTCTCCTGGTGGGGATCCATTCCAAAGTGACACAATCCCAAGTGAGGACGCTCTCTGGGAGGTTTGACATCCCCAAGGGGTATGATCTGATGGCTCCGACAAGGTCAGAGGCCATTTTCGATCATGGGCCTGTAGGCTGTCTAAAAATCACAACAGATAGCTTATCCCCATCAAACAGCAATAATAGAGGTTATAATTCAACGACTTCCAGAAGGCTACAATTTGAAGACTTTTATATAGATCGATGAAGGTTACAATATGACGATCTTCACAACAACTGATGAAAGCTCTAATCAACAGCCTTCACAATCAACATCGGGAGTTACAATCTGACGGCTCTCACATATCAAAGAGCTAAAGCAAAGATTACAAAATAACGATCTTTGCAACGCTCTGATAGAAAGAGACTACAAATCGACGGTCTCTTCAAACCAAGACGTGGAAGTCCTCCCTGTGTACCGGCATCAAGACGCAGGGTTTTTAGCCGTTGACACAGGTCAAACCTGGCTGCAAACGCAGCTGACATTCAGCTCCAAATGTTACAAACGCAGCTCAAATCCAGCTGCTAACGCTGCCAACGCAGCTTCCAACACTGCCAACACAGCTTCCAAATCGCTGCAAACGCAGCTCAGATCCAGCTGCTAACGCTGCCAACGCAGCTTCCAATTGGTACGTCCGAGCTTCTAGACGCGGTGTTCGAGCTTCCAGACACTACGTTTGAACGCAGAATCCATGTCAAAACGCGGATTTTATGTTTGACTTGTTCAAACACAGTTGAACAGTTTTAAAACTGTTTCCCACGATCTGAGAGGATCACAACTCCATTCAGGAATGATTTAAGGGGCAGTTACATCCCATTAGCCCCACTTAGGAGCGAATTAAGGGGGCAGTTATACCCCTTAATCCCATAGAAATAACTAAAAAATCAGCTTAGTTCGGGGCTAGATCTTTCATCCTTCTTGTTGGCAGCAAAGAAAAGATCTTAGGGGGGGATGCTGGAGCTTTGAAGATCAGTAACAGGAGCTTTCTTCATCCTTGGCTTATAGACCGATTTCGGTTAAATCGACTCTTTCATAGAGTTTCATCTTCATCCTTGGCTTATAGACCGATTTCGGTTAAATCGACTCTTTCATAGAGTTTCAAACTCGTTCAGAGTTCTAAAACTTGCCACGCAAGTTCTCCACAACGTCAAATCGTGAGGAGAATATCACGTTCCAGTGAAACAAGACGTCGAATCATCAACGAGAAGCAAACTCGACGCGAGCATTCAAGGGAGGCATCTCATTGCTACCGTGAAGAACCCAGAATTAAACAAAGGAGAGAATCCAGATCATTCTCCTTTCTTTTGTAATCAGAAAATCCAATTGTAAATGAGATTAAAGGAATACATATCAAATTTCCTTCATTTCTTTTTACTATAAATTTTCCACCAAACAGGGCCAGAGCGAGGTCCTCTGTACTTGAGGCATTTAGAGTTTGGTCTGCGGCTACCCCTACATCCCTTCCTCCAACAAGTGTTCACAGTGCTAGGGTTTCACCGGCACAGATGAAGCCGAACACCATCGCTATCTTGGTGGGGTTCATGGTGATCTGCCACTGGTTGGTGGTCAAGCCATGCATCTTTGCGGGACGTGGGCCGGCTAGTGGCTGTGAAGGTGAACCAGACTGAGTCCCACTATCATTTCCAAATGGTGAGGAAGTTTAAGCTCGTTACTGGCCTTCTTGACTCCTACAAGGACTGGAAAAAAATTGTCTGGATCGTGGGGGACGACCTGGAGTTGGACTGCTCCAACTGGCCCGAAATAAAGAAGGAGGCGCTCATGGAGGGTGAGTTGACCATCACCGAGAGAGACGCGCTTTACTTGATCAATGTGTACGTTGGCTCTCGTCGAGTCGACCATCTGCTCGACAACTAGGTCATGCGGTTTGTCCATGTTTCGAATGTGCCTCTTCTGCCAAGGATCATGAGAAAGCTTTCGCCTTGGTCATAGGGACAACAAAAGCGGCAACACACCTACTATTTCTTTGGTTGCTCACCTGGACGGGTCATCTGCTAGGCTCATGAAGCACCTTCGTCAGGACATTCCTCCAACAGAGGCCGAGACGGCCGAGGAGGAGCTTGCTCCCACCCTCGTCCATAGACGGAGGAGGCCGAGAGATGTGGAACAGGTACCTCAAGTAGCGGCAAGGATGATCGAGACCGACATCATTCTTTTGGATGAGTCGGCCTCGGGAGAACTACCCGAGGCTCCTCAAGAAGAGGGAGTCGAGGCCAGAGCTTTGGCTGGGCAGGGAGAGTCATTCGGTCGCCACAGCGAGTCAACTCGTCGGGGGAAGGAGATGGTCAAGGAGGAGATAGTACCTCCCGTGGGGCTAGAATATCACTTTCCTCACTCTGTTGCCAAAATCAAAGAGGAAGAATAGGAGAAGATGAGGAAGTACCTCATCGGGCTTATAGGGGTTGGCTCTCGATATGGACAGGAGCCTGACCTGAAGCATCGCTACGAGCCTAATCAGCACCTCGACGTCAGGGGGGCTGTCCTGGGCTCTTGCTGGACTTAGCAGAGGGCGGTCAAGTAGTTCTAGCTTCCTCGGGATGAGGAGTATTTGCAAGGGGTCCCGGATGTCGGCCTCCACCATAGCCTTCGCAGCTACTTTGTTAGAGGCGCTTTGGTGGAGGCGGAGTTATACCGCCAGATGGATCTAGTCTTGACCGTTTATCTCAAGCTCCTAGGGGAGGTTACTTCCCTAAGGGCTGACAGAAAGGCCGACTTAGAGCGAGTCACGGAGACACCGGTCCCGAGTGCTTCCGAGGTCGATGGGCTCAGGTGGGAGCTGGAGGAGAGCTAGAGGAAGGCCAGAAGGATGGAGGAGGCTCTTCGGGAGAGGGACCGCGCTGAGGCATTGGCCGAAATAGAGAAGGAGGCGGCGGTGCATGCGAGGCGTCGACTGGGTGAGGAGCATGCAACGATGGTCAAGCTTCAAGAGGAGGTCGCCCACTTGTAGGAGTCGCTTTCGGCGGTTCAAAGCCAAAAGGCTCAACTTGAGTCCGAGGCTCACCATCGGGAGATCATCGAGGAGTATTGCCAAAGTTTAACTGAAAAAACTAAAGTGGCGATCGTCTACAAGGCAGAGTATGACTATCCGTCGGCGCAGCTTCCAGCCGAGATGAGGAACCTACCCGGTCGCTTTCGCTACCCTTCTATCGTGGCCAATTGTTTGGACGACTTGGTGGAGGTGCAAGAACTTGGAGGGGGACTCGATCTTGGTGAGGAAGAGGGAGAATTGGACGAAGGAGGAGACTGCTCGACTCCTCCGTCGGCTACGCCGAGGGGTTCCCCGCCCACGACTCCAGGAGCGGGGATGGACTTCTCTTAGTCTCATATGACTTTCTTGCCTCTTGCCTTTGTGTTGTATAGATGTATACATTGTATATTATAAATATTCCTTATAAATGAATAAAGAAATATTTTTGGATCCGAAATTGCTTTCTCCATGTTGTGCAATCTCAATTTGTGCAATCTTAATGTGTCTTCTGAATGACTTAGCTCCAATATATACTTGTAAACTTTAAGTGCTCACTCAAGGGGACTCATCCTTCGTTGAGAAGAGACGTTTTGAACTCGAGTAGTCACTTCTGATATGTTAGTTTTTATCTAAGTATAGAACCATTTTGGTCGACTACTTTTGTAAGTAGGTGTCTGAACTTCTTTGGTGAGTGCCTGAGATAATCTATAAAATATGGTGTCGACTGCCGAGGGTCGACTAGGGTCAGGTCGATTGATCGTCGAGTAGACGTCATTTAGTGAGTTTTCAGAAGCCTTTATTGAGCAGGTGAAACGTTACTGTTTAAAACGACATGATGACGCTGTCAGTTATCAGAGAGTTATGACGTCGCTTTGATTTTTGAGCGAAGAGGTGCAGAGTTAAAGGGGAGCGGCGCTTCGAGTTTCGTGTGAAACGTTTGAGATTTTAAAGCGAATCTCACCCATTCATTTTGAAACGAGGCGACCGTCCAGATTAATCAATGTGTTCCTCTTGAATGATATAAATAGCCCATTAAGGGTGAAGAAGAGCTTTCTTCACACATTCATGCCCTAAATCTTCAGCGCTTGTCTCTCTAAACTTTCTCAAATCCTTTGCGATCAAAAATTTTCCAATGGCTTCTCAGACTTCCACCCCGGCCGCAATGAGGAGAGAATTTCTCTTCTCCGGCCTATTCGCTCGAAGGTCGTCGTCTGAGAGTTCGAGGCGTACCATGATCTCTATGATATCCCTAGGGCCTTTACACTTGCAGCGCCAAGTGGTCGCCTGCCACTCCATCCCTTAATTAGGGATGTACACGTTGCTCTGGGGGTTTCCCCCTCTCAGTTCACCCTGAATGCAATTGGTGTCGTAATCTGCCACTGGATCGGCATCCTACAAAGCATGTGCCTCTTGGGCATCTGGTTGGGGTCAAGTCGACGAGTAGTAGTCCGCATTGAACCTTGGATACGAGGGTCAAATCTGTCTTCTTTCTCAGTGACGAGGATAACATATTGTGGGCGGTGTGCTCGTGGTGCCCATGGCTCACCTGATCCTTGTCGGCGACGCCCTTGGTCAGGCTCACGCTCACGCTGATGTTGTTTTTCCTTCCCTTTAGAATTGAAAATCGCCTCTCAGGGCTATGAAGATCAGCTTTATCTGGGAAAGTAAAATGAAGAAGGGAGAGGGGGGAAGAGAGGGAGGAGAAGAGAGAGAGCGAGCAGTTGTAGTTGGGGATGAAAGGTAGTATAGAAATTTTAAATTTATTAGAAAAATACAATATAAAAAATGAGTGTATTATACAAACTGGCTTTAAAAATAAATGTGATGAGATAATTTGGGTTATGAATGTATATAAGTGAATGGGTTTTTTAATAAGTGCGGGTAAAATTTTGGGTTAAAAGAGAAAAACCCTCAATAAATAACCAAATAATGACAAATTAGATTTGGCAACCCCTCAAAAGAAAAGACAACCCACACCCAAATATAATAGACACCCCCATCTCCCGTTCCTACCCCCTCTTCTTCTTCCCAAATTAAATAATATGGCAAATTCAAACTCCACTGCTTCCCCTGCTCTCTATAAATCTCCGCTGTTCACCCCTCAACTTTTCAACGCCCTTACAAACACGACCCCAGAAATGGCCGCAATGAAGGAGCGGGGAGATCAGCTGATGGTGGGCTTGTGGGCTTTGGTGGCTGGAGGAATAATGGTGATGGTCGGTGGGGCCCTCTTGAAGTGGGTTCAGGAGTGGGTGTGCGAGAAGCGGGTTGATGTAGATAAGAGGAGGAGGCTGCCGCCGGGGGATTACGGGTGGCCGGTGATCGGAAACATGTTGGGTTTTTTTAGAGCGTTTAAGTCCAATGATCCTGACTCCTTCATTGCCTCCTTCATTAAGAGGTTGGTTGAGTTTTTTTTTTTTTTTTTTTTTGATTTTAGTTTTTTTTTTTTTTTTTTTTGTGATTCTAAACCCATTCTCTTACAGTGAATTGTTTTTGGGCCCATACGTACGTTTATTCTTAAGTCCATCTACTTTTATCTAGTTTGCCGGCGGATTAAAAGGAGGAGGGGAGGGGAGGGGGGGTCAGCGTGTTAGTTTGGATGCTTTGAATGTGTGGATGATTTTTTCAATGTGTAGTGGATTTAAAAAGTAAACTAGTATAGAGTACGGGTTGAGAATGAATTTTTTTATTTTTTTTGTTTGTTTGTCTTGGTTGTTCTTCGCTGGCGAGGGATGACGTGGCACCCATTGTACGAAGTTAAAACATACAAATGAAATAGTACCTTTTATTTGTGTGGTCTGAGAGAATATTGTGTTTAATTAGTTCCCTTTATGATTCTTCTTGTAAGTTAAGAAACTTTGTCATATATAGTTACATGCAACTCCTTCGAGTTTTGGTTTTTTGCCCCCATTTATTTGGGCAAAAACTGTTCATGCAAGGTTTTCAAAAATATAATGTTTTAAATCTATGTTATAGAAATTCATTTGTGGGAAAATGGAATATTTTTTTTTTTAATTTTCACTAATATGCAACTACTCAAGAGCGACAAGTGGCGTTATCTATGAGACTTTCATCTGTATCTACGTAGTATTTGACCTCACAAGAAATTCATAACAATATCAGTAGTTATTTCTTGCCATTGAATTTAATTATTATTAAGGTTGTATTTGTAAATACATAGAAGTTTTAACAAAAAAGATAAACCTAAGGGGGTTGCATGCAGAAATGGATACGGATGCTCATAGCAAATCTGGACCTTTAGTTTGTCCTATATACACGCACGCGTACACGTGGTTTCCAATGGCGTTGATAAATATACCCATCCTTTCCATGTATGCACTCTTCTTATCTAGAAAATAAAATGAATTATATGTATATGCCCTTTTCATGTATGCACTCTTCTTATTTTTTTTTTAAAATGAATTACGCCGGCCGCTTTGTTCATGCATGATCGTCTATTATTTAATTATTATTTAATGTACAGTCATAGTTCGTCTTAAATAAAATTTTGGATCAATAAGAATATATATGGCCCTAATTATGTTAAAAATTTTGGATGATAAAGGGAATCCAGATACAATGTTTTATTACTCGAACATATTTTACTGCTCTTGATCAGGTTCAATTCATGCTAAGCCATCAACAGGAAGAAAAGGGTGTTTATTAAGAATCAATTGCATGAAAGTAATTACTATATCTTAACATTTTGTTAATTAGGGGGTTAATTTTAATGCAGTTTATAATTAGATACAAAACAGTGATGGCTTAAGCATAGAGCTAGCCTGACGAATTATGGGTCCTCTCTCTATTGTACTATTGTGCTTGGTTCTCTCACCTTTGAAATATTCTCTTTTCTACTTTGTTCTGTTTGATATTTTTCTTCTTTTAACTGTTAATGCATGGTGGTCCTCATAGCGTGCACGAGGCTTTTAGCTGGTGGATTTTGTAATGATGGGCCTGTCTTTTTTTTTTAATAATGTATAGAACACATACAGAGCATGACCACAAATTTCTATTTCATGGATCATGACACGCATATGAGGCCAAATTGTTCAAATCTTATCAATGGCTTCAGCTCAACTCTCAATTTCTTTCACTAGACTGTATGTAAATGCCTTGACAAAAAAAAAATTACAAATTTCACCTGCATTGATCATTTTTGCTCATGAATCAGATTTGGCCGTGGTGGAGTATACAAAGCCTTCATGTTTGGGAGCCCGACAATCATAGTCACAACTCCTGAAACCTGCAAGCAAGTTCTAATGGATGACGAACATTTTGTGCCGGGTTGGCCAAAGGCAACTAATGATCTCATCGGAAAGAGATCTTTCCTCTTTATAGTTCGTGAAGAACATAAGAGACTGAGAAAGCTTACATCTGCTCCGATCAATGGCTATGATGCTCTCACCACTTATCTCGGATTCATCGAAGAAAGTGTTGTGAGTACTCTAGATAAGTGGTCGAAGATGGGTGAGATTGAGTTTCTTACTGAGATGAGAAGGTTAACTTTTAGGATTATTATGCATATATTTCTAAGCTCGGAGAGTGACACTATAATGGTGTCGTTGGAGAGGGTGTATACCGATTTGAATTATGGAATGAGAGCCTTGGCTATTAATCTCCCTGGTTTTGCTTATCACAGAGCATTGAAGGTAAGAATTTCGTCAATATTTTTTTTGGCTAATTAGCACTTAAATTCCTTATGGTTTCTCCTACTTTGCATTTTATATACCCTCTTGTTTCTGGCACCACTGATATATCTTGGAAGTTTTTGAAATTGGCACATCAGTATCTTCTGTTAGGCAAACACGCGAAATTTCATCCCCAATATTTCCATATGGCTTTTGTTGATGGTTTAAATCACACAGTTAAAAGAGGAGGAGGATAAGAATTGGGTTGATATGGGGGCCGTTCGCTTTTCTGAATATCTGATTTGGAGTTGGGTTGTTCATCCACATCAGTATCTTCTGTTAGGCAAACACGCGAAATTTCATCCCCAATATTTCCATATGGCTTTTGTTGATGGTTTAAATCACACAGTTAAAAGAGGAGGAGGATAAGAATTGGGTTGATATGGGGGCCGTTCGCTTTTCTGAATATCTGATTTGGAGTTAGGTTGTTCATCCCTGCACGCGTAACAACTCGTAAGAGGACGGGGACTGGTTCCCCTGTTGTTCCTCCGAGGAATAAGTCAGTCAGGGGCTTGAGTGAGAATATGAGAAAAATACAGTGGAATGGAGAAAGATGCTGAGAAATTGCTTACCCTTATATTTGGAATAGTTTTCTTTTTTATAGCCAAGCAAGTGGGGTAGTCTTGTCTTTTTAGCTGAGCCTGAGCTGGAGGCTGAGTCAGCATCTACTTTACATGTATCGGTCGTGGATTGGCTGCATGATGGGTGCTATTATTTCGCCATTAATGAGATACGATGGGCGACGCACGAAACCGGTGTGGTCCGATGTGTCATAAATAGTATAGAGAATGGAGAAATGATGGCGCTTGCCAAGCATTTAATGTGACGCCGACGCACTGTCAACAGGGGAGGTTCAAGGTTGAAGTCGTTCTTTGGCTTGTAGCGATGGGTGTCGAGAAGTAACACCTTTCGAGTCGACCCTGCGATGTGTGGAATAACTGGTCGAGTGGGCTCGTAGCGAGTCGTCTTCGACAAGAGGACCGACAAGTACCGCCCTTCGAGTCGACCTAAGAAGATGCCGACTCGGCGAGTCGGCTATGTCGGGATTCTTGGTGGTCCTGACCGTCAATTTGATTTGAGCAGTGCATGTAGGGGGATACCTGTCCGTTGCTGACAAAGGATCATACTTTGACGACTGAAAACACCACAACAACTTTCAAATACTAATTCTAGAAAATCGTAGCATTCATCAAATATTCTACTAGAATATACAAAAATAAGAACTGATGTACTTTTTTCTCGTTATATCATGATATCCTTCTTGTATATAGGCCCGAAAGAAGTTAGTTGAAGTTCTCCAGACGGTTCTAAATGAAAGAAGAATGACAAAGTCAAAAGTTTCCTCAAAAGAAAAAGACATGATGGATAATCTCATTGATGTTGAAGATGAAAATGGTGCAAAGTTGACTGACGAAGAGATCATTGATATTTTGATTATGTACCTCAATGCTGGTCATGAATCTTCTGGTCATATCACTATGTGGGCTACTGTCTTTCTACAAAAATACCCAGAAATCTTTAAAAAAGCCAAGGTAGAAAAGGAAACAGTTAATATTCAAACTTGTAAAGGAGTTTCATGAGAACTAATTTTGGCATGTTAATGATTGTTAGGAGGAGCAAGAGGAGATCCGAAGGAATATTCCACCTACACAAAAGGGATTAACACTTAGAGATGTGAGAAAAATGGAGTACCTCTCTAAGGTTTGTCCAAATATGTGTCATGTAATGTAAATATTTTAACCCTGTTTTGTCATGAGATATTGGAGTGGTTGATCATATTTATTCTTGCTTTGGTGAAGGTCATCGATGAGACACTCCGCGTTGTTAACATTTCTTTTGTTGCTTTCCGAGAAGCAACTGGGGATGTTGATATCAATGGTTAGTTCATTTAATTTGTTTTTCTCCTCATTTTTTTAATCAAATATTATTATTGTTGTTATTATTATTAATGGTGATGATGATGATTGCAGGGTATATTGTACCTAAGGGATGGAAGGTGCAAACTTGGTACAGGACTGTTCACATGGACCCAGAAGTCTATCCGAACCCGAAAGAGTTTAACCCATCAAGATGGGATGTAAGTATGAATATGAATTTTAAATATTTATGTAAACGTTATAAGTGTATTCTGTATATGTGTCAATATTTATGAAACACGTATGCTTTAATGGTCACAGGGACTCACACCAAAAGCAGGAACTTTCCTTCCCTTTGGAGGAGGAAGTAGGCTGTGCCCTGGAAATGATTTAGCTAAACTGGAGATCTCCGTTTTCCTACATCATTTCCTCCTTGATTACCAGTAAGTTAACTTTAACTATACCATTTCCTTGTTGGATGTTTATTTGTAAAAATACGATGCAGTTGTTAAATCTTATTTGTATGTCACAGCATCATTTTAGTTGACCAGTGCGAGAGATGCTAAAATGGAAGTAACTGGCTTATGTCACGTATATGTATATATCATGCTTAATTAGTTGTTGTAAATCAAATGTTGTTCAGATTACAACTGAAATGTGGACTTAATTCTTGGAAGATTTTAACCTTGATGACTTATTAATATTGATATAAAGTGCTAAATCTCTTAGTTATACTTACGCAGGCTAGTGAGACGCGACCCACAGTGTCCGGTGAGATACCTACCTCATCCGCGGCCTAAAGACAATTGCATGGCAAAAATAATAAAGGCGGCCAAAACATCCATGTAAACTTTGCAGAGAGTATACATGTCAACAACCTCAAACAATTTTCCCAATATAATGAATTTAGAGGCCTTGTTTATCTGAGTTATTTGGCTCTGATGTTTTATGCAATTTCAATAGTCTCTCTTCAATGATTGTGTGTTTGTGTGTGAGTACGAGAAAAGAGTTTTCCCTCAGTCTCAGAAACAATCAACAGATAAGTATAACCTGATGAAACTTGAAACTTGAAAACAAGAATGAAATGCTAACTACTGAAATTACAGTAAAAAGAACTTTGCTATATGGTTTGAGACATTGGATACGCTCTTCTTCTTGTAAAATATTGCGTATACTGAAAAGAGAGAGAGCAACCTGCCGATGTATCGAATGTAACTACGTGTTAAAAGTACAGATTAATAACCCGTCAACCATTTTCAAAGTGAGATTGTAAGAAGGTGGTGAAAATCTAATTCTAAACGCAAATCACCAAGATAATCAAGAACATAATTAAACACAGAGGACAACATGTGAGCTTAACTACATGAAGGTATACAGTACACTAACACGTGCATTACATACGGAGGTGGAGATAAGTAAACAACACAAGAAAGGGTAACAGTGAAAGAAACTAGAACAATGCCATACGATTCAACATCATTAATCTCCACAATCAATATGCATGATATCATCGTAATCACTAATCGCTCAGAAACTGAAACTGTATCTGGTAACTTCCCTCGGGATTAAATATGAAACTAAGAGGAACATCTAGTGAGCATCTTCTTCCTCACAAAACTTTGTGTATTCCTTCGGACCCATCAAGGATTCAATCTCTGATGGATTACTTGGCTTGATCTTGATCATCCATCCATCCTCATACGGACCAGAATTGATCTAAAAACAAGTTATAGTTATTAACTACATCAAAAATATTTCTTGTAAGTGGAATGTGAATAGTCTTATTTATGTACATTACCAGTCCAGGGGCTTCAGTGAGCTTACTGTTGACCTCAACAACTTCACCAGAGATTGGGGAGTTTACATCACTTGTTGCCTTCACACTCTCCACTGCTCCAAAGCTGCCTCCTTTTGAAACTGCGGCACCAGATTCTGGAAGCTCGACGAAAACAACTTCTCCTAGATGGCCCTATTTATAGTATGTCAAAATATGTAATTAAGAAAAGTTCATGATTCTAATAGTTTGATCTGATAAATTGAACAGAGAACAGATGTATTAGCGCTTAATCAACAAGTAATTAAACTAGCATCTGTCATATGTTCATTGATAATTTGGTGTGTCAAAAAAGAAATTGTTCAGAGAAAAGAGTAGTTGTTTTTTGACAAATAGACTCCTGACAGTAAAAGAGTAAAGATTTCACCCCAGTGGTCTATCCGCAACAATAAAACTAAAAGGGTAGTAAATTCAAAACAAGGATACTACAAGGGGTCTATCCGTTATTAACCATATTAAGATAATTACCTGAGCGTGGTCAGTGATGCCAATAGTAGCCACAGATCCCTCATGCTTCACCCATTCGTGAGAAGGACTATACTTCAACCCATCCAAAACTATCAAAAATATACGTCATAAGCGAAAAAGAAAAAAGAAAAGAAAAGTGCTCATATGATCGACACAACAAATTCTGCAAAAATGCACATAAAACAATATGATAGAGAAACTAAAGGGCATCGACAAAATGAAGTACCAGAGGAGAAGCATCTTGAAACGGAGAAGGCAGAGAGAGGAGAAGCTCTTGAGGCAGCGCAAGAGATCCTGAGTGCATTGGCAGTTGAAGAAGCCCACAGCTTGAGAGCCATAATATTATCTTCCCTCTCTCTAGCTCAACACTATTTTCTTATCTTTTGGATGAGGTTTTTTTTTCTAGAGCATAGAGAGGGAAGAGGAAGAGGATGGATTTGTTTAAATGTTTGTTGATTGAGTCTGTGGATGTATGAGACGGATTGGTTGGTGGATATTGATAGCCTCATCCTCAGAATATTAGCTCCCTCACATTCTCATTCTGTTATATTATTTACGGGTGAAAATTGTTCCCTGATAATGCAAAATGAGTACATTATTTGAGGAGTTAAATGTCTAGCAATAAAAAAGAAGGATCAACTAGTGAGTATGCATACAATTTGGAAGAGAAAATTGATCAACAGTAAGATTTAGGAGTAACTTTTGAAATATCAAATATGTGAGAGGTTGATAGATATCTGAGGGACACCTTTACAATAATAAAGGAGGTATTTAATTTAGTTGCGTAAATATAGGGGTGTCTAAATGGGGCTGAGGCCCGGACCCGGGCCGCCTCGTCTGGCGAACGTGGGCCCTGGCCACGGCAAACAATGGCCCGTTCCACCAAAAAACGGTCGAAGGCCAGGTGCCGGGCGCGCCCTGGTTGCCGGACTGATCGTAACAGCCATAAACGATCATTTTGGCATTTTGACCAAAATACCCCCAAAAACTATCAAAAAAGGGTCAAATTTTGAGGGTATTTAGGTCATTTGTCTAGGAGGTTGCCTATATAAATAGAGGAGGTTTTCATTTGTTTTTCTCATCTAAAACTCATCTACTTCTCTCTTATACTCTCTAATAATCGCTTTAGCTCTCTAATTCTTCAACCAAATGGCTTCCTTATCTAATTATAAAGGGCAAAACTTAACTACCGAAATGAGTCCTACTACAGAAGGTACACCTACTCCTCCTACTCCTACCGATGTTGATCTCAAATCCGGTGGCGACGATTCTACTACACCAAGAGCTCCTAAAATGCCAAGATTCGATGTGTGGAATTTTTTCGAGAAGATAGACATCACCAGGGATGAACACGGTAGGCTTCTCACCCAGAAGGCTAAGTGTGCATTGTGCGGTCATATTTTTCAAGTTCATCATAAGAGCGGCACTAACCACCTCAAACGCCATTTAGATAAACACAACAAAGTTCAGACGCCTCAAGGTGATATCCGATAATCTATGCTCTCATAATCCTCATCTTCTGGTAGTCTCGGTAGTTGGAATTATGACGCAGTTCGAGCTAGAAAATGCGTCATCGGGTTTATCATTCTTATAAATCTTCCTTTTAAATTAGTAGAAGATGATGAATTTGAAGATTTATTTACAGATGGTTTTTACCCCGCATTTAAAAAAATTCTAGTCAAACTTGTCAACGTGATATTTTAAAATATTATCAGGAGGAACAAGAAAAAATAATTTCTTATTTTTAAAATTTAAACTGTAAATTTTCTTTAACTTTTGATATTTGGACATTAAAAGCACAAACTGGTAATTTATGTATCACAACACACTGGATTGATGAAAATTGGCAAAAGTTTAAAAGAGTTATTTTTTTATTGTATTTGAAGAGTCACATATTAGTATTAATATTACAAATTTAATAATTGAAGAACTTACAAAATTAGAAATTTCAAAAAGAATATTTTTTCTTTCACTAGATAATACTAGTAATAATAATGTAGTTGTTGATTATATCAAAACATCTCTGCTATTGTTATGCCGTGGTAATCTTTTTCATATTAGGTGTGTCTGTCATATTTTAAATTTAATTGTTCAAAGTGCATTTGATGAAATTAAACCCATGATAGAAAATGTTAGGTCAGTAGCTTATGTTCATAATGCTTTTGAACAAAGCATTAAAAGATGAAAACAATTTTGTAAAAGAAAAAAATATAAAACCCAGACTAATTCTAAAAGATACTGACCATATGTGGAATTTTACTTATGCAATGTTAAGTGTAACAATAGAATATAAAAAAATTATAAATGATTTTATTGCTTTTTATACTTCTAGTTCTAGCTCTGGTAGCATGTATGGAATAACTGAAGATCAATGAACAGTTATAAGTAATCTAAAAGAGATGTTACAAGTTTCTTATGATGCTACAATGTTATTATCTAATTGTTATTATCAAACAATTACTTTAGCTGGTTTACAAGTTTTAAATATTCAAAAAATAATAATAAATATTGTATGGATAATTATTTTAGAAATATAATTTTTCAAATGGAAAGTAAATTTAATAAATATTTTATGTCTATTCCTATTATTTTTGGTTTGATGGTTCTTATTGATCCGTGTTTGAAGGATATTGTCCTTCGAAGTTTGTTAAATTTCTTGTATGGTAATATGATTATAGACACTGATGATGGTCAAACTATTACTTCTATTGCTTATCATAATACTATTAGAAATTATTTTCAAAGATTATATGATGAGTACGCAGCTAAATATGGTGTATCTACACATCAATCTACAGCTTCAGTTTCTACAAGCTCAAGTTGAGGCAAAAGTGAAAGTTTTGATATGTATGTAATAGTAGCTGAGCTAACTGGTAGATCTGGACTTGGATCATCAGCGGAGGTTTCTGAAATTGATCAATATTTAACTGTATTTTTAGTTAAATGTCAAAACAATAGTTTAGATATTTTATAATGGTGAAAAGTATAGAGAACAATTTCATATCATATATTTTCCATCATGACTCGTGAGTTACTGACAGTGCAAATTTCCACTGTAGCTTCGGAATCCGCCTTCAGCACAGCAAGACGTTTGATCGACAACCCCATGACATCGTTAGATCCGTATACTGTACAGTCGGTCACGTGCTTATAAGATTGGTGGAGGTACGAGAAGAAAACACAAGACATCGATCGAATGCCTGGTATTAAAGATAAATTTGAAGAGTTGGGACTAGCAGATAGATATAAAGAGTAAACAATATTCATCAAATTTTTATTTTTATTTCTTAGCTGGAAATTTGTAATAAACTATTTTAGAAACAGTTACAAATGATAGTGATATAGATGAGTAGGTGCCAACCTAATTGAGATGTACTCATCTATTGTGATGCAACGAATTCCAAAATAAATTTATAATTATAAACGATTTACGATTATTAATAAAGAAGTTATTTTTATCATTTTAATTTTTAAAATTTTTTGTATTTGTAATTTATGTAATTTCAAATGATTAATAAATAATAATATGATTTTTTATTAAAAATTTTTTTAGTTTTTTTGTTATGTATTATTAAATTTTTAAAGAAATAAAAAAAATAAAAAAGAACTTTTAAACCCCAAAAAATTGGGCCGGCACGGAGCTCGGCCTGGCCCAGACCCGGCCCGGGTCCGGGCCTCGGTTTTGCCTGGCCAGGACCCGGTTTTCTGAACCGAGTCGGGCCGACCCGTTTAGACACCCCTACGTAAATACACCTTGAAAATAAGAAAAATAACGTATTGATAAGTTTCTAATGGATCCCACATTTGTTTAAGGGTTAATTTCACAAACCCTCGTGAGCTTTGGTGGGTTTGACACATAAACCCCTACAAAACTTTTTATCTCACAAAAACCCCCGCACACTCTGGGTGTCTCAACAAACTCCCGAAGTTCAAACTTTTTCCAACGGACCCATGTAACGTGTAACTAATAAATAACTAAAATCTCTTTGAGAGAAAAAAAAACCCTCAACATGGGGTAGGAGTTACGTTACGACAAATTATTAAATCGAAGGTTGTTTTCTCTCTTAAGAACATTTTAGCTACTTGTCAATTACATCTAGTGCGGTCCGTTGAAAATTTTAGGCTTCATGAGGGTTTTCTGAGACTGCCCAAAACTCAGAGGGTTCGTAAGATTAATAAGTTGAGTGGGGTTGTGAGATTAAAAAGTTAAAGGGCTTATGTACAAACCCCCAAAAGTGTGAGGGGGTTAGTGAAATTAGCCCTTTTATCAAACAACTCCCTCATCGTAAGCCCGCAGAGCAAAGGGCGCGAACGATCGATGGCCGGCGACGAGCGAGTAGAGATTAGCATCAAGGCCATCGGCCCATCTCCTCCCTCCTCGATTCGAGTTCCCTCCCTCATCAAGGTAACCGATCAAAACCCTAACCCTAATTCAATTTCCCCAATTCCAAGTTTTACAAAATGTCCCTAACCCTAATTCAATTTCCCCAATTCCAAGTTTTACAAAATGTTACTTCAAAGCTACGAACTTTTTAGGTCTCCGATCTGAGATCTCTGGTCTCTTTAGATCGCCAGCTTCCCAAGGACCGATTGAAGCTCATCTTGAAAGGGAAAATTTTGAAGGACGAGAACGAGGATGGCGAGGATGTCAATGTCAGATTCAACAGTGGCGGTAATTTCTTCATTTTTCGTTTGATTTGCTCGTGGAAAATTTTAAATTTCATTTGATTAAAGCTTATTTTTTTAAAAGTGTAGATTTGACCATTGGATTGGAACTGGGTATATAATGATACACTTGCACATAAGGATGAGCTCTAGAAGAACACCATATGTCAAAAATTAGTAGAAAAAACCTGCATTAGAGGAAGAGGACGCATATTTGGTGCAGAATAACATGAATAGATTGAGATCAGAAAACCGAAGGACTTAACAGTTCATATATCCTTCAAGATCTGCATCTAGAGATCAAATCATTTTCTGTTGACTACCCCACCCTCCGGTGTGTGTCATTTGACATCGGGCATTGAAAGTTAGCTGAATGAGGGGTGTAAGAAAGAAAGGAGAGTAGGGTGACCACCATATATACCCTTACGTGGAGACATATTAGTGGCATTGTGCCATGGGATGTTGTGCGGCTGTGCCAATAGCCAATGGACCCATTCTCATGGTTTAGCGTTGCGTTTGTGATTGGTGTGGATATTGAAGACTTGGTCACGTAGGCGTTGTCATTTTTCAAGAGCAAGCAATATAGCGAGCATCTACCTGGCATATGCGGAGGCAAGCTTGTTCCTGTCTTGAGAGCTTGCCTGATATCAGAGAAATTGTAATTGTCTTAATGGGATTTGCGTATAAAATTGCAGAGGACGTGTTTAGGTTTATATGTTGAAGAAATTTTTGATTTAAACTCATTCCCACTTTTTATTTTAAAAACCGACCAACTCCCTTTTTATTTACAGGAATTGACCCACTTCTCGGCCACATCAGCATCGTGGCCGCAAAGTGGGGCGATTTTTTTTAATCTCGTTGCTAAATAGTGGCAACCCCGACTAATTTAGTTTGTGTATTAGCAAAATAGTCGGGGTTGGCAACCCCGACTATTTAGCAACGAGTTTAAAAAAATTGCGCCTCAATTCGTGGCCACGAAGTGGGGCGATTTTTTTTAACTCGTTGCTAAATAGTCGGGGGTGCCAACCCCGACTATTTTTCTAATTTACAAACTAAATTAGTCGGGGTTATTAGCAAAATAGTCGGGGTTGGCAACCCCGACTATTTAGCAACGAGATTAAAAAAAAACCACCCCACTTCGCGGCCACGATGCTGACGTGGCCGAGAAGTGGGTCGATCCCTGTAAATAAAAAGGGAGTCGGTCGGTTTTTAAAATAAAAAGTGGGAATGAGTTTAAATCAAAAATTTCTTCTTTATATGTTTGAAGGTTCTTGTACATTATGGTATGACTAAACTTCCTTCCTAAATATATTTGTAAATTGGGGTGTAAATGGATGCTTATCCATGTATATTCATGAAACACCACTTCCCTAGTTATATATATTGAACCAAGCTCCTGTAGTACTCCTAGGTATTGTGTCAAGAAAATAACAAGTGAATATTTCTTGTCTTATTTCGTCAAGGAAGTTGGGACCAAGAGCTGCTCTTTGCACATATTGAGAAAGGGATTCACATTATAACTGTAGAATATGTTGTAGTTATGCAATTGGTTTCGTGGCAACTTGTAATTTTATTTTCAGTTAGAAATTTTAGTTTCACCTTGGAAATTGCATTTGCGGTTTATTTCTGAACATCTGCTAGTTATAGTCTTTTGTCGATATATGATCTCCATATGTGACATGACATAGTTGTATCAAATGATGACATTGAAACTTGCATTGTTGTCCTCTTTCCATTTGCGTTAAAGCTTATCTGATTGCTGCTTCTTATACCTTCCTATTTAAATAAAATTTGATTCCATTGTTTCGATAGATTCTCTCGTGGTAGCAGTCGTGCCAAAACCTCCTGCTAAACATCTTCAAGAGGACGATGAGGAGGAGGAAGATCTGGTTAGATAAACTTTTCGCTCTGAATCATTAGTAAATCATTATTATTATTTTCAAAGTAAAATTAAGTTTTCCTTTAGATTAACTTTTTTATGTGTATGGAGCAGAGGTTTCAAATGCCACAGTCATCAAGCCGGTGGAAGAGGAGAATGGTGTCTTTTCTCCGTGACAAATTAAGATTTCCAGGTAGACTTTCATATGAAATTCAATTAACTTCTGGAAATGAATATTATATGCAGATGAGATTGCTTACCTATCATATCAATTTCGGCAGATTTCCTGTTGATAGCGATTTTCTCTATTAGTCTGAAGGCATGGGCTTGCATATTCCTATGGTTTTCATTGGCACCTGTAGCTCACAGATGGGATTTAGGTCCCTTGTATGTAAGTTCACTTTCGTTATTGACGGTATTGGGATAAACTTTTCATGTTAAACTTCCAGGGAACTATTCTGTTGCATGTCTTGGGGGGCTTTTAGCGAATAGTTTAAGTACTATTGGTGTTGGGAAATAACATAATACGCTGACTACTTTCACTTGTTGGTTTGTGCTCTTATACTGCATGCAGATACTGGGGACTGGCTTTTTGATCATACTTCTGAACCTTGGAAAGAGACAACAAGGAGATGTTAGGTGCTAGAGTTATCCCTCCTTGATATATTCCTCTTGGAAAAGATTTCAACATGCTTTTCCTTCTAATTACTGGAGCAGTTAATGCTGTTTTCATTCCTTCCTTTATCTCTGATCAGAAGTAGCTCAAATTTCGTTTTTGATCTTGCAGTGCGTATTCAATATTCAATGAAGATTTCAGGGAACTTCCTGGCACATTGAATGCAGATCGTCTGGATAGAGACATCAGGGCTGGTCAATTTTAAGTCTCTTAGCATCTTAATGCTTTCAAAAATGTAACTTAATTGGAAAAAAGATGCACACAATATATTTCGGGGTATGGCTGTTTACTTAAGTTCCTCAAACAACGGAGTGGCAGAAGATTTTCGGCTTTTGGGTTTACAAGGAACAAATCTGACAATGAGAAAGTGTCATCCCCAGAGTCAACAAGTGTGCTGCAATTTTTTTCGGTCTTCCAGTGAAAAGACGGTGATGTGGTCCTTGTGCTTAGCTATCTGTATCTATAAAGTGAATGAACATAACGAAGATTGGAATTGCTAGTGTAAGCGAAAGCTTATGTGTGCATGTGGTCGCAGTTGTGCTGTGCGGTGAAAATACTTGCGGCGGGCTTATATGCGGAGTATGGATTTGCTTGTTGGTCCTTGAGCGAGTGTAGAGAAAACTAGCATCAAAAGAACAGTTATAAAATTTTTTATCTTCATAGCTCGTTCTAGTTCTATTGATTTCGCGTAGTTTTTGTATAAGCAGAAGTATCAATGTTGACGGAGAAAACAGAAGGGCTACGTTAGGCAGACTTCTGGTTGATTAACTCTTAAGCGGATTAAGTTGGGCAATTAGCTCACAAGTATTTGTATTTACTTCTGGAAAGAACAAGTATGTTCGTCGTATACGTCTTAACGTCTGTAATACAGTTTGATGGAAATAAAAACACAACTGGATGTCAATAGTGGATTGTTTAACCATTTCATATCCATCACTGTACCAATCTGACGAAATGAAAGGGTTAAAAAACCAAAAAAGGCAAAAAAAAAAAAAGCAAAAAACGATTGATATGAATAGTTGGTAGAATGAAAACTCAGTTTCCACTGAAGAGATCAATTTAAAACCCGCCCTAAAAACTATGTACTCCCTTACAAGACATTATTACCTCAAAACTATTTGGTTGCAATTTGTCAAGAGAAAAACTGCACCGAGTACAAGCTATACAACAGACGATTTTTTAACTAAAAAATGCCCAAAATAGAAACAAAACAGTCTTCTTAACATGTGAAAACATCCCTGAGATCTCCACATGAAATATCTTACAAACTATATAAAAAGAAAGAAGGAAGAGATGTAAAAAAACACCGTCCAAAATGAGGTGTCTGCCCAAATTATTTCCAAAAACCAGGGTTTTCTCACCGCTGTGCACATGTTGATTACCAAAGAGCAAGAACAATATATGTAAACTTATTCTCATTAATGAAAAATAAAAAGCGACTATATGAAATATCAACCCGATGCTATAAACTCTGAAAATCACCAGCTTGCACCAAAAACCCGGATTCTCTGTTCAATTTGGGTACCGCAACAAGGGCAGTTAGCTTTTGCCCTCCTCTCTTGATCCTCGCTGCAACTGACACAGAGAACCTGATGAGCACAAGGCAAAAGAACCACATGAACCTCATCCTTCATGCATATAACACATTCTCTATTGCGGTTCTGTTTTGATGAAATTTTTGGTTTAGTAGACCCTTGATTGATCTTAGCGTTGGTTTCTTTAGCTGGCTTTGGCAAGTCTAAATCAACTGAGGACAAAGCATTTGAGAATGATTTGGTTGGAAGGATCGAGACTGTGCTGGCTTTTAGACGGGAGAGTTCTTCTTCAAGCCTATGAATGTCATCTTTGTGACGCTGGAAGTCTACTTCGATCCTTCTCCTCAGTGATTCTTGATTTCTCTTGATGGTGGCCTCAGCTGCTTCTTTGGCCCTTCGTTCCTCCTCAACCTGTGTAATTGCTTGCTCTTTGGCCTTTATTTCTTGTCTCCATTTCGCCTGCAAGTTTAGGAGAGAATGGAACCACAGCAGAAACTTCAGAGACAGAGGTTGTGTATCTTTATCTACCCAAGTGTTTAGTTGTCGAGTAATGTAAATAATAGGAGTTTTTCCGTTGCATGGATAGAATCATGATGCAGTTCGCTCTCCATATAAACAACATATATGATATGGATGCATAAAAATAAGATGACACCCAACTGCCTTCAAATAAATAACAGCTCTTCAACAAGGTCCCGGGGCAAAAACAAGGAAAGAAGGCAGCAAACTGTGTAGACATATGCGACTTGTGAGTTCCGTGAAAGAAATCAGAAAATGAATTGCTATTGTTAACAAGATAGATGATGATGACTTCTAGAGAAGTACCAAGAGTCTTAAGTCCTGCATAATTGTTTCAGGGTAAACATGGTGTCTGAAAATAACCTTATACCTAGATATTACAATGCTTTTTAAGGCGGTCAACCACTCAGGGCATACATGAAGCTATCCACTGCCAAAGACAAAGTTCCTTGCAACAAGTGCAAGCCAAAACATCGTTGGTATGTGACACTGATTTACGGGGTGGAGAAGAACCAAATATGAACAAATACTTCATTAAGTATGAGTCTAGCTATTCGGTTACATTTGATTTGATAGTACATTTAACAATAAACAAATAGTTTTAGTATTGGTTTATATTCGTCTGATTGTTAACTATTATTTGTTTACATTTTATACTTTATTCCTATAAATTTTATTTATCACAAACTACTCGTTCAAATATTACATATCTAACCTATACAAGTGCTATTGAGAAAGAGAATATGAAAAATCACAAGAACAACATAGTCTTGCACATTTTTGCATTTAAATATTTGCATTTTACTAAGTATGGTAAGTATGAATATTTGCATTCTATTAAGTATAGTAAGTCTTTAACTTTTTCATGTTGTTTCCAAAAAAAAAAAATTTAAGTTCACAGTAAACCAATTCTCGGGAAAGAAAATCTCGCCGCTTAAAGAGGAAAGAGGCAGCGTGTTTCGTCCCACCGATATGGCCATGTGTCAAGATACTAACAGCCAGGTATTTACTCATACCCCCACGTGTCAACATCCTATCGATAGATATTTAATGTAGCGAACTCGAAGCCTAGGGTTTTCATGTGTGCTCGCGGCGCTCTTCTGTTCCTGCTCTCTTTGGGACTCCTCTCCCTCCTTGTGCCAGCACGTCTCTCCAGCGTCCCTCTCTCTCCCTCAATTTGCTCGTGATTTGGTAAGACTTTATAACCTTTCATCTCTCTTATGGCGTTTTTCCCCCATTTCCCCTCCTCTTGGATTCAAATATTTGCAAATAGTTGGTGAATCTCTAAGCATGAAAAAAATAGAATTTGAATATTTAATGGGATTAGATTCAAATTTGGATACAAATTTCAATAGTGAAGATCGAACCGTATTTGAATTTGGATATCCCAATATTTGATTCGATTCGGTTCGTTTCCACCCCCTAGTGCAACCAGATCTAATTTGGAGGAAAAGCATTTCTGACAGATCCTTCCAATACGGATCATCATGTCTCTAATTGCAACAAAGGGTCTGTCTCCTTTGAATAAATGAGTTGTTGCGCGAGACTGAATTTCGAAACTACACTTAACTTGATGGTGGACACATATGAATATGGTTGCCATCAAACGCTTGACCTAAATCTGAAGAACTAAACATTAATTTGGTTCCCCCAAAAAAAAAGACTCATAAGATCCTTCATAGTACCCTCTAATAAAATTACTTGAATAATGTGGATCTTGGTTGCAGTTGAAATACAAAAAAGTTGCACTAGAAAATGCCTATTTCCTTGAAAATATCTTTCTAGAATTGTGACCTTTCTAGAACAGAGTTTCCAGAGCCAACCTAAAAATAAGTGGTTCAAAATTCATACATCTACATAGACTATAAATCATCAAAATGATTAATTGTATGTTATCATGAACTATCAAAAACAAACACCAAGGAACACATGAACTCAAGGATCGAACATTTATTTTTAAAGTATCATTTTCACCTTTTCAAGTGCTCTGTAATGAATAATACATGCATAAAAAGAATTAGCCCACAACTAGATGCGAGATATGAATCTTACAGACAAACAACTTTCCTCTGCAATCTCATGACAGACGGAGAAGAGGGATGTAAGATACAAAACTCATCCTAGATCAGACCTTTTCATATGTGTACTGCTAAACTGCTAGTACTCTCTACTTGAATTATAGCTAGACCATGATCTCTGAACACAATCCCATAGGCATAGATAAAGCATGCAAAAGAACATTTTACCAAGAAGGAGCAAGGTCAAAAACATCTCGCTAATATGAACATGAGCTTATAAAGAACAATGCGATTAATGTGCCCACACCATAACAACTAAACTACACAATCACCCACCCAGACAGGGCTTTTACGGGATAAGAACCAATACTCCACGAAAAAGGAGAGAATAAAACAAGTCCATAAAAAGGCGGATGAAAGGAAGCCCATCTTTGTCAACAAGTGTTGCAATTGGCACATATATGTTTCTTTCCTAACCACATCCCAGAGAAGTCCGATGCAAAATATCATCCTCTGTAAAAGGGTTAACTCTTACAATACAGCATCCATAATCTACAGAAAGGGAGAGGGAGGGGGAGGGGGCAGGGAGCGAGGGAGGGAGAGTTCATTTTTAACCTTCTGTTAATAAGAACTGGGTCTGAATGCATTTAACTTAACATCTTCTAGACCTTGAAGCGTCACATTGGCACTTGCTCGCCACAGAACAAATTCAAGTGACCATTATGAAGTTCAGTTTTACAATACATAGTAGTGATAGATCAGTTTGAAGAATCGACAGAAGTAAGGTAGCATCTGTTGGATTAACAACATTGAAAATAACCCTAGCGTGTGACATATCAGTCTGACCTCCCGATATCTTAAACCGCATAAAGCATAATGCATAGGGATAGATCATACATTTTTTTACTTTAAAATAATAGGAGGGTAAGGGATAGATCATACATTTTTTTACTTTAAAATAATAGGAGGGCAAGGAATTAGGTGTTAGGCTTATAAAACCATTTTAACTCTGCACACATGTACATGTCCCAATAAACAAAAAGAAGGAATATATGTATGTCCTGTGTCGAAGACGCATATGTTCCGTGTCAAAGACGCACAATGTGCTACTTTGGATGATTGAAACATCAGTGTGCTAAGCATTTGTTCTACCCATCATAATAATTAAAGCAATACAAGAACAACAACAAAGTTTTTATCCGAAATTTATTTGGCTGGCAACAGGAATTTTATTCCTTCATTCAGTTTCATTCGGCTCTCTCCTCCGCTAAGTTAATCATAATAATTAAAACAAAATGATCATTTCCTCCTTAAAATATTGGTGAACTCTCAAGTAGCCCCCTAAAATATCAATTTACCTATTTTGTCCCTCAAAGTATGTTTACAGTTTAATGTGGTCATTTTGTAAGCCTATAGCCAAATAATTAACAAATTAATGACATAACATTTTTTTTGTATTTCTTCATGGTCTTTTATCAGTTTATCTCCTTTTTCCAAACAAATAAATATTTTAACTACTTTCTCCCAAAAAAATTTACCATTTAACCCTGTGAATTAAAAAATAATTTATTAGATTGCAAAAAATATATAAGAAATACAAAAAAACACTGTAATGTCATAAATTTGTTGAGATTGTAGACACATATAATGACCTCATTGAGACCATAAATATAGTTTGACGAGCAAATTAGGTATATTGATATTTTAGGGGGCAACTTGAGAGTTCATCAATACTTTTAAGGGAGGAATGATCATTTTATCCTAATAATTAAAGCAATCTTATGGTAAACAATAAGAAAAAAACTATATGCTTCTGCACTTCAGAACAAGAATATTAAGGTTAACGAAACACTATACTTCCTATCCGCTTGTCTAGCTTTCTTCTCTACAATGCTTCCTAGCCTCATAGAGTTGTCGTTAAGAGTGTGGGTAACCTTCTCCTCCTCTATAACCTCTTCGCAAGATAAGCAAGGTTACAGAAAGCGCTAGGCATTGGACCCGACGCCTAGAACCTACATGCTTAGGTTGGAGTCTAGACGGTTTTCCTTTTTTTTTGTTTTTTAATTGCAATAATTTATAGTAAATACCAATTTTATAAAAAGCTTAGGCCCCAAACCAGCGCCTAAGTGGATTTCTTTCTTCGTTTGAGTGATGATGTAGGATGTTTTGCTAAAGGTCAGAGGATGTAGAGACAGTGTTCATAGTTGGAGGCTGGAGGAGTTTGGAGGATGTTAGCGGATGCGGAGGCTGCAATGGAGGTAATCACGATCAAAGCACAAATGATGCGGTCTACATAAGCAGACAAAGCTCCCTTATGTGCTCCCAAAACACATGTGGGTCTAAGTATCGCCTAAGTGCTAGGCGCAAGGCAGGTAGCCCAGGTACCGTCTAGTCATGGGCATACGCCTAGGCGGGCTAGGCGGAGGCTTTTTAAAATATTAAAGATAGGGTAAAATGATTTAGTTAGAAAACCTCCCAATCACTAGTCAGTTTACACCTCTCAAATTTAGAATGTAATTACATAATCCACTAGATGCTCTAGAACCTCCAAAAGTATATATGTATACATTTATAATACATTATACGCAACGAAATATCTAACCCATTATTCTTCTAAGCTGCTTATGGTCACTGCATCTGTAGCAACGTTTTATGCATACGATCATATCACCTAACCTGATAAGTTACAAATTCACAATTCCAACATTACCAGCTGCAAACCTATCAAAGGTAGGACATACATACGTATATCATCTATCAATAGATATCCACAGCATCACTCTTTGTGAGTGACTTGAAACCTTCAAATTTTTGTCTTAGGTACTAGTATTTTCTAACTCTTCATAAAAATCTGCAAATGGAATGACATTAGAAGGACAAAAATACTACCAGACTTAGTACTAAACCAGTAACTTGGGGTTCGTTCAACTCACCTCAGCCTCTTTCTGTGCGTCCCTAACTTCATTCAACTGCCGCTGCAACTCCTCACCTTGGAAATTGCATTTGCGGTTTATTTCTGAACATCTGCTAGTTATAGTCTTTTGTCGATATATGATTTCCATATGTGACATGACATAGTTGTATCAAATGATGACATTGAAACTTGCATTGTTGTCCTCTTTCCATTTGTGTTAAAGTTCATCTGATTGCTGTTCCTTATTACCTTCCTATTTAAATAAAATTTGATTCCATTGTTTCGATAAATTGTGCAACTTTTCCCGGTAATTAATCAGGTTTTTTAATACTGTATTTGCTCAATTTGTTTGAGATGTTACATAAGCAATATTATATTTTCAAATCTCAGTTATATAGAACATGTAGCTAATGATTTTTGTGTTTCTTGCTATATCATTGTCGTGCTTGCTTATGTGAATGTCTTCTGAAATCTGGTGTCTGGTCATGACCTTTTGAGATCACAGTACTTGTTGAGATGCTCTAATATATGCTTAGTTAACATCATGTTGTTAAGAGGTTTTTTGTATTCTCAGTGAAAACAAACTTATGCAATAAGACTTCCTAGAGCTCAGTTGTCGATTAAGATGGATGTTACTAGCATTATATTATCTTTTCCTGAAGCTTATTGGCATATCTCATATTGCTCCCCCTATGTCATCAATGTTATAGGTTCTCAGAAAATGAAATTCTATTTTTTGGTGGACCTATTTCCCATATTAATAATTCGAGAGACCGATATGAGAAATGCCCTACATTAATTTCTCTTTTTTTTGATGTAGGCTAATAGTTTCCTTTTTTTGTTTGTGCAGACAGCTTTTGGATGAATCTTTGGCTATGACATCAGCTTCTTGCCCTATATATGATCAAATCTCTAGTATTATCCTCTTGCTTATCCATGCTATATTTTTTGTGTTTGGAGTTTTTATTCATTCCTGGAGATTAGGGTTGCTTGGAGTTGCATCGAGTAGTCACAGTTTCTCCTGATATGTATATATATGTTTGTGTGTGTCCGTTTAGTCTATGTGTATGTATGTATGCTTGAATTTATACAAATTATACACATATGCCTTCACATGCCTAAATAGATATGTATGCCTTTATCTCTGATCAGAAGTAGCTCAAATTTCGTTTTTGATCTTGCAGTGCGTATTCAATATTCAATGAAGATTTCAGGGAACTTCCTGGCACATTGAATGCAGATCGTCTGGATAGAGACATCAGGGCTGGTCAATTTTAAGTCTCTTAGCATCTTAATGCTTTCAAAAATGTAACTTAATTGGAAAAAAGATGCACACAATATATTTCGGGGTATGGCTGTTTACTTAAGTTCCTCAAACAACGGAGTGGCAGAAGATTTTCGGCTTTTGGGTTTACAAGGAACAAATCTGACAATGAGAAAGTGTCATCCCCAGAGTCAACAAGTGTGCTGCAATTTTTTTCGGTCTTCCAGTGAAAAGACGGTGATGTGGTCCTTGTGCTTAGCTATCTGTATCTATAAAGTGAATGAACATAACGAAGATTGGAATTGCTAGTGTAAGCGAAAGCTTATGTGTGCATGTGGTCGCAGTTGTGCTGTGCGGTGAAAATACTTGCGGCGGGCTTATATGCGGAGTATGGATTTGCTTGTTGGTCCTTGAGCGAGTGTAGAGAAAACTAGCATCAAAAGAACAGTTATAAAATTTTTTATCTTCATAGCTCGTTCTAGTTCTATTGATTTCGCGTAGTTTTTGTATAAGCAGAAGTATCAATGTTGACGGAGAAAACAGAAGGGCTACGTTAGGCAGACTTCTGGTTGATTAACTCTTAAGCGGATTAAGTTGGGCAATTAGCTCACAAGTATTTGTATTTACTTCTGGAAAGAACAAGTATGTTCGTCGTATACGTCTTAACGTCTGTAATACAGTTTGATGGAAATAAAAACACAACTGGATGTCAATAGTGGATTGTTTAACCATTTCATATCCATCACTGTACCAATCTGACGAAATGAAAGGGTTAAAAAACCAAAAAAGGCAAAAAAAAAAAAAGCAAAAAACGATTGATATGAATAGTTGGTAGAATGAAAACTCAGTTTCCACTGAAGAGATCAATTTAAAACCCGCCCTAAAAACTATGTACTCCCTTACAAGACATTATTACCTCAAAACTATTTGGTTGCAATTTGTCAAGAGAAAAACTGCACCGAGTACAAGCTATACAACAGACGATTTTTTAACTAAAAAATGCCCAAAATAGAAACAAAACAGTCTTCTTAACATGTGAAAACATCCCTGAGATCTCCACATGAAATATCTTACAAACTATATAAAAAGAAAGAAGGAAGAGATGTAAAAAAACACCGTCCAAAATGAGGTGTCTGCCCAAATTATTTCCAAAAACCAGGGTTTTCTCACCGCTGTGCACATGTTGATTACCAAAGAGCAAGAACAATATATGTAAACTTATTCTCATTAATGAAAAATAAAAAGCGACTATATGAAATATCAACCCGATGCTATAAACTCTGAAAATCACCAGCTTGCACCAAAAACCCGGATTCTCTGTTCAATTTGGGTACCGCAACAAGGGCAGTTAGCTTTTGCCCTCCTCTCTTGATCCTCGCTGCAACTGACACAGAGAACCTGATGAGCACAAGGCAAAAGAACCACATGAACCTCATCCTTCATGCATATAACACATTCTCTATTGCGGTTCTGTTTTGATGAAATTTTTGGTTTAGTAGACCCTTGATTGATCTTAGCGTTGGTTTCTTTAGCTGGCTTTGGCAAGTCTAAATCAACTGAGGACAAAGCATTTGAGAATGATTTGGTTGGAAGGATCGAGACTGTGCTGGCTTTTAGACGGGAGAGTTCTTCTTCAAGCCTATGAATGTCATCTTTGTGACGCTGGAAGTCTACTTCGATCCTTCTCCTCAGTGATTCTTGATTTCTCTTGATGGTGGCCTCAGCTGCTTCTTTGGCCCTTCGTTCCTCCTCAACCTGTGTAATTGCTTGCTCTTTGGCCTTTATTTCTTGTCTCCATTTCGCCTGCAAGTTTAGGAGAGAATGGAACCACAGCAGAAACTTCAGAGACAGAGGTTGTGTATCTTTATCTACCCAAGTGTTTAGTTGTCGAGTAATGTAAATAATAGGAGTTTTTCCGTTGCATGGATAGAATCATGATGCAGTTCGCTCTCCATATAAACAACATATATGATATGGATGCATAAAAATAAGATGACACCCAACTGCCTTCAAATAAATAACAGCTCTTCAACAAGGTCCCGGGGCAAAAACAAGGAAAGAAGGCAGCAAACTGTGTAGACATATGCGACTTGTGAGTTCCGTGAAAGAAATCAGAAAATGAATTGCTATTGTTAACAAGATAGATGATGATGACTTCTAGAGAAGTACCAAGAGTCTTAAGTCCTGCATAATTGTTTCAGGGTAAACATGGTGTCTGAAAATAACCTTATACCTAGATATTACAATGCTTTTTAAGGCGGTCAACCACTCAGGGCATACATGAAGCTATCCACTGCCAAAGACAAAGTTCCTTGCAACAAGTGCAAGCCAAAACATCGTTGGTATGTGACACTGATTTACGGGGTGGAGAAGAACCAAATATGAACAAATACTTCATTAAGTATGAGTCTAGCTATTCGGTTACATTTGATTTGATAGTACATTTAACAATAAACAAATAGTTTTAGTATTGGTTTATATTCGTCTGATTGTTAACTATTATTTGTTTACATTTTATACTTTATTCCTATAAATTTTATTTATCACAAACTACTCGTTCAAATATTACATATCTAACCTATACAAGTGCTATTGAGAAAGAGAATATGAAAAATCACAAGAACAACATAGTCTTGCACATTTTTGCATTTAAATATTTGCATTTTACTAAGTATGGTAAGTATGAATATTTGCATTCTATTAAGTATAGTAAGTCTTTAACTTTTTCATGTTGTTTCCAAAAAAAAAAAATTTAAGTTCACAGTAAACCAATTCTCGGGAAAGAAAATCTCGCCGCTTAAAGAGGAAAGAGGCAGCGTGTTTCGTCCCACCGATATGGCCATGTGTCAAGATACTAACAGCCAGGTATTTACTCATACCCCCACGTGTCAACATCCTATCGATAGATATTTAATGTAGCGAACTCGAAGCCTAGGGTTTTCATGTGTGCTCGCGGCGCTCTTCTGTTCCTGCTCTCTTTGGGACTCCTCTCCCTCCTTGTGCCAGCACGTCTCTCCAGCGTCCCTCTCTCTCCCTCAATTTGCTCGTGATTTGGTAAGACTTTATAACCTTTCATCTCTCTTATGGCGTTTTTCCCCCATTTCCCCTCCTCTTGGATTCAAATATTTGCAAATAGTTGGTGAATCTCTAAGCATGAAAAAAATAGAATTTGAATATTTAATGGGATTAGATTCAAATTTGGATACAAATTTCAATAGTGAAGATCGAACCGTATTTGAATTTGGATATCCCAATATTTGATTCGATTCGGTTCGTTTCCACCCCCTAGTGCAACCAGATCTAATTTGGAGGAAAAGCATTTCTGACAGATCCTTCCAATACGGATCATCATGTCTCTAATTGCAACAAAGGGTCTGTCTCCTTTGAATAAATGAGTTGTTGCGCGAGACTGAATTTCGAAACTACACTTAACTTGATGGTGGACACATATGAATATGGTTGCCATCAAACGCTTGACCTAAATCTGAAGAACTAAACATTAATTTGGTTCCCCCAAAAAAAAAGACTCATAAGATCCTTCATAGTACCCTCTAATAAAATTACTTGAATAATGTGGATCTTGGTTGCAGTTGAAATACAAAAAAGTTGCACTAGAAAATGCCTATTTCCTTGAAAATATCTTTCTAGAATTGTGACCTTTCTAGAACAGAGTTTCCAGAGCCAACCTAAAAATAAGTGGTTCAAAATTCATACATCTACATAGACTATAAATCATCAAAATGATTAATTGTATGTTATCATGAACTATCAAAAACAAACACCAAGGAACACATGAACTCAAGGATCGAACATTTATTTTTAAAGTATCATTTTCACCTTTTCAAGTGCTCTGTAATGAATAATACATGCATAAAAAGAATTAGCCCACAACTAGATGCGAGATATGAATCTTACAGACAAACAACTTTCCTCTGCAATCTCATGACAGACGGAGAAGAGGGATGTAAGATACAAAACTCATCCTAGATCAGACCTTTTCATATGTGTACTGCTAAACTGCTAGTACTCTCTACTTGAATTATAGCTAGACCATGATCTCTGAACACAATCCCATAGGCATAGATAAAGCATGCAAAAGAACATTTTACCAAGAAGGAGCAAGGTCAAAAACATCTCGCTAATATGAACATGAGCTTATAAAGAACAATGCGATTAATGTGCCCACACCATAACAACTAAACTACACAATCACCCACCCAGACAGGGCTTTTACGGGATAAGAACCAATACTCCACGAAAAAGGAGAGAATAAAACAAGTCCATAAAAAGGCGGATGAAAGGAAGCCCATCTTTGTCAACAAGTGTTGCAATTGGCACATATATGTTTCTTTCCTAACCACATCCCAGAGAAGTCCGATGCAAAATATCATCCTCTGTAAAAGGGTTAACTCTTACAATACAGCATCCATAATCTACAGAAAGGGAGAGGGAGGGGGAGGGGGCAGGGAGCGAGGGAGGGAGAGTTCATTTTTAACCTTCTGTTAATAAGAACTGGGTCTGAATGCATTTAACTTAACATCTTCTAGACCTTGAAGCGTCACATTGGCACTTGCTCGCCACAGAACAAATTCAAGTGACCATTATGAAGTTCAGTTTTACAATACATAGTAGTGATAGATCAGTTTGAAGAATCGACAGAAGTAAGGTAGCATCTGTTGGATTAACAACATTGAAAATAACCCTAGCGTGTGACATATCAGTCTGACCTCCCGATATCTTAAACCGCATAAAGCATAATGCATAGGGATAGATCATACATTTTTTTACTTTAAAATAATAGGAGGGCAAGGAATTAGGTGTTAGGCTTATAAAACCATTTTAACTCTGCACACATGTACATGTCCCAATAAACAAAAAGAAGGAATATATGTATGTCCTGTGTCGAAGACGCATATGTTCCGTGTCAAAGACGCACAATGTGCTACTTTGGATGATTGAAACATCAGTGTGCTAAGCATTTGTTCTACCCATCATAATAATTAAAGCAATACAAGAACAACAACAAAGTTTTTATCCGAAATTTATTTGGCTGGCAACAGGAATTTTATTCCTTCATTCAGTTTCATTCGGCTCTCTCCTCCGCTAAGTTAATCATAATAATTAAAACAAAATGATCATTTCCTCCTTAAAATATTGGTGAACTCTCAAGTAGCCCCCTAAAATATCAATTTACCTATTTTGTCCCTCAAAGTATGTTTACAGTTTAATGTGGTCATTTTGTAAGCCTATAGCCAAATAATTAACAAATTAATGACATAACATTTTTTTTGTATTTCTTCATGGTCTTTTATCAGTTTATCTCCTTTTTCCAAACAAATAAATATTTTAACTACTTTCTCCCAAAAAAATTTACCATTTAACCCTGTGAATTAAAAAATAATTTATTAGATTGCAAAAAATATATAAGAAATACAAAAAAACACTGTAATGTCATAAATTTGTTGAGATTGTAGACACATATAATGACCTCATTGAGACCATAAATATAGTTTGACGAGCAAATTAGGTATATTGATATTTTAGGGGGCAACTTGAGAGTTCATCAATACTTTTAAGGGAGGAATGATCATTTTATCCTAATAATTAAAGCAATCTTATGGTAAACAATAAGAAAAAAACTATATGCTTCTGCACTTCAGAACAAGAATATTAAGGTTAACGAAACACTATACTTCCTATCCGCTTGTCTAGCTTTCTTCTCTACAATGCTTCCTAGCCTCATAGAGTTGTCGTTAAGAGTGTGGGTAACCTTCTCCTCCTCTATAACCTCTTCGCAAGATAAGCAAGGTTACAGAAAGCGCTAGGCATTGGACCCGACGCCTAGAACCTACATGCTTAGGTTGGAGTCTAGACGGTTTTCCTTTTTTTTTGTTTTTTAATTGCAATAATTTATAGTAAATACCAATTTTATAAAAAGCTTAGGCCCCAAACCAGCGCCTAAGTGGATTTCTTTCTTCGTTTGAGTGATGATGTAGGATGTTTTGCTAAAGGTCAGAGGATGTAGAGACAGTGTTCATAGTTGGAGGCTGGAGGAGTTTGGAGGATGTTAGCGGATGCGGAGGCTGCAATGGAGGTAATCACGATCAAAGCACAAATGATGCGGTCTACATAAGCAGACAAAGCTCCCTTATGTGCTCCCAAAACACATGTGGGTCTAAGTATCGCCTAAGTGCTAGGCGCAAGGCAGGTAGCCCAGGTACCGTCTAGTCATGGGCATACGCCTAGGCGGGCTAGGCGGAGGCTTTTTAAAATATTAAAGATAGGGTAAAATGATTTAGTTAGAAAACCTCCCAATCACTAGTCAGTTTACACCTCTCAAATTTAGAATGTAATTACATAATCCACTAGATGCTCTAGAACCTCCAAAAGTATATATGTATACATTTATAATACATTATACGCAACGAAATATCTAACCCATTATTCTTCTAAGCTGCTTATGGTCACTGCATCTGTAGCAACGTTTTATGCATACGATCATATCACCTAACCTGATAAGTTACAAATTCACAATTCCAACATTACCAGCTGCAAACCTATCAAAGGTAGGACATACATACGTATATCATCTATCAATAGATATCCACAGCATCACTCTTTGTGAGTGACTTGAAACCTTCAAATTTTTGTCTTAGGTACTAGTATTTTCTAACTCTTCATAAAAATCTGCAAATGGAATGACATTAGAAGGACAAAAATACTACCAGACTTAGTACTAAACCAGTAACTTGGGGTTCGTTCAACTCACCTCAGCCTCTTTCTGTGCGTCCCTAACTTCATTCAACTGCCGCTGCAACTCCTCAATCTTCCTCCTCTCCTCTGCCACATCCTCTAGCAGCTTCTGCCTCTGCTTCTCCCACACCAGCAACCTCTTCAAACATTTCTTCTCCCTCTTAGCCACCTCCAAGCAAGTCCTCACAGATTCCGATGCACTTAGCTTTGATGCCTCCATCTCTGCTCGTATCTCTGCATTCTCAGTATTCAACCTGCCCACCACCGCATTCGCCCTGTCTACTTGCCCACTGGCCTTCTTCAGCGCAGTCTCCATCTCCGACAACCTCTTCATTGTTGTATCTTCTAATGCTTGCTTCCCTTTCTTAACCCTTTGATTCTCTTCCCTCTCCATCCTCAATATTTTAAGTTCCGTCAGATCATTGCTTAGCTTTTTTGCTGCCTGCATTGCTTTCTGTTGTGCCCACTCTTTTCTCTCCTTAACCTGTATCTCTAAATCCCTAATCTTTTGTATCATGCTCAAAACCCTTTCTTTCTTCTCTTTGTTCTGATCCTCTGTCTTCTCGTCCTCAATACTCATGCTCTCCAGGCTCTTCAGCACCGCCGCAACCACATCCGACTCTGACGATGATTCTTTCTCTTTACTCTCCAAATTCGTGCAACAAAAGCCACCGGCCGATCTAGAATTCAATCTCCCAGGAACCTGAATCCTCCTCTTCGGATCATGAAGCTTGCACGTCCCAGGCCCTCCTCCAGCGGCGGCTGCGGCGGAGGACGGGATCTCGATCGAGGTGGCTCGGCCGACATGGAGCTCGCTCATCAAGAGGCACCACATCGCATCGCCTCGGGTTAGATGAGGCCGGAGCTGCTGCAGCAAGCATACGAGGCCGGCGAGGGTTAAGGTAGGTGATCGTATTGTGAATGATGTTGGAAAGGACATCCTCGGATCCGTAGAAATGTCCGTTGGCGAGGATCGCGCGCAGGGCTAGGGTTTCGTCGTAGCCGAGCGAGATCACGCGAGCGAGGGCCTCCTTGTACACGAAATCAAGGTTCTTCAGGAGGAGCTCCTCGAGTTGCTCCTCTGTACAGTATCCCCATCCAGCGTCGTCGAAGGAGCTAGGGTTAGGGTTAGGGTTTTGGTCGGCGGCGATGGGATCGGCGACGGGAGGGGGCTTGGAGGAGGAGTTGCGGTGCTTGCGGGGGCCGCGGAGGGATTTATCTTTTACGTTGCAGCCCATTTTTGGGTGATTTAGGGGGACGAAATAAAATTAGGTCGAGAGTGAGGGATCTTGGAAAATTTTTCCAGCGGAGGAGAATTTGGCAGCAGAAAGAGAGAGAGAGGATCGAAGTGTGAGAGGGAGGATGGCCGGGTGAAATTTGGAGTTTATTGTGAAAATGGTAGCGGTCGTCTGTTTTTATTTAACCCCTCTACGTACTCTATATTTACTCAAATTAAATAATTTCAGGGAAAAAAAACTAAACAAGAAAAGTAAAGAGTTTTGAGCTTAGCAATATATATTTATCTTTTTATTCGTAGTTGATGTGAATTTGATAAAGCCATTCATCAACATGTGAATAAGAATCTATAGTGTTGATGTGAATTTGATAAAGCCATTCATCAACATGTGAATAAGAATCTATAGTGTTGATGTTAAATAACCAAACACTCAATATAGGGGGGTGAGGTTAATTAGTGAGCCGTTAACTTCTCCGAATATCTGGTTTTGAGTTGAGTAGCTTTAACCTGCACAAATAGTAACTCATGAGTGGACGGGGACTAGTTCCCTCATAGTTCCTCCGACAATCAAGTCAGTTAGTGGACTTGAGAGGAAAAATGAAAAACTGTGCGAGTTCTAAAGTGTAGTGCGGTATAATTTGCAGATATTGCTTGGAAAAATCATCCGAAAAAAAATCTTAGACCTCCTCCTCATGTTGAGAATAGTACCTCTATTTATAGTGGTGGGAAAAGGGTAGAATGGTAATCTCGGCCGAGTATAGGATGACGGCAAACGAGTATGGCCTGGCAACTATGTCAGCACCTACTTTACAGGTGTCGGCTGACAAGTGGATGAGAGATCACCTCAGCATTTAATGTGAAGTGATCGAGGGCATGACGGTGTCTATGTGTCTAATATCGAGACTAGAGGCATGATGGCGTCTGCTAAGCATTAAATGTGATGTCGAGGCGTTGTCAGCGGGGGAGGCTCGAGGTTGAAGTCGTACTTTGGCTTGGCCGAGAAGTAACGTCTTTCAAGTCGACCCCGCGGGACGTCGAATAACTGGTCGAGTGGGCTCGTAGCGAGTCGTCTTCGTCAAGAGGACCGACAAGTACCTTCCTTCGAGTCGACCTAAGGGGATGTCGACTCAGTGAGTCAGCTAAGTCGGGATCCTTGGTGGTCCTGACCGTCAATTTGATTTGAGCGGTATATGTAGGGGGACACATGCCCGTTGCTGGCAAAGGACCATATTTTGGTGACTAAAAACACCATAGCTATTGGTTTTTGAAGTTTGTTTTTGACATTCGAGATCATTGATAATGTTTAAACTCTTGAAATTTTTTATTGATTGATAACTTGTATAGATGTAAGCTCAAATATCCTATTACCATGCATAATACTGTACATCAAATGTCATAAAGATATTATTGTAGCTATAAAGATATTATTGTAGCTTACATATGCTAACAAGAAAAGAGCAGCAAATTTAGGGTGAATATCATCACCATAAAAACTATTACCATTTGATAGAAACTTGAGACGGAACTACTGCTAATTTCTCTGGTTTAATTTCTATTATATAAGTATTTTTACACAGTAAAAAAATAAGAAGACAAGGAAAAGAAGTAGCAATGTTAGCTAGAAAAGGCCAGACCTTATATCTTCGTCTGCAGAATAAAGGCCCATACTGATATGCATGGGCCTTGAAGGCCTAATGGGCTTTTTATTCTTGTCAGGTTCCGTAAACCAACAGCTATATATATTGGGTAAATACGATTTCGAACGTGCACTATTTTTATTTTTTTTATTATTTTTTTCCCTTCTCATGACACCATGATAGTTTAGTTTGCTTTTGATATCAATGAAGTTAAAAATCGAAGTACAACCTATTTTAAAAACAAGTATGGAATATATACTGGACCCGAAGAATTTAATTGAACTCCGGGCCTTCAGTATTATAAGGCCTTGATTCGGATCCAAATTGATTCGGGTCCAAACCCGCTTCCGCTCTGAGGCTGAAATAATATAGGTCCCGGCTTCCGACAAGAAACTGGTGGTGGATAATTGTAGACATGGACTTTGAAAAATGACAAATGATTATAACAAAACAAAAGATGAAAGCTCTCTTCTCCTATCTCTCTCCGTCTCAATGGATGTATTTTGGAGGATAAAAAAAAAGAGAGGATAAAGGAGGGGGTGAAAAGGAAAAATAAAATGAATTCGCTACTTTACATGGTAACACTTTTTGATTTGTAGCCTGGTGTCGCTTGTTGAGCCACCCATGCATCATGATCTATCACAATTTAGACATGCTTGATTGTTACCATCACGAAAATAAGGAGAAATAATTGAAATTAATCTAGGACGAAGACGGGATGAGGTAAGCGTGATGTAAGCATACTGTGTAAACCCTAAAATATCAAATCTGTTTTAGCGATGGAGGTCATTCTTTCTATAGATTTATTAAGGCAAAATAAGGAGAAACTGACGTACTGCTTTGAACAAATAGGCTGCCAAGAGATACGGCTTATGACCCCTCCTACTAGTAACATTGACGCCTGGTGAAGAGCAAACAGGTCGGCGGTCTCCCAACCCGTCTTCTAAAACGAGCTACCGATCTATTATTAGTGCCCTCGCTTATATATTATAGATTTTAATTTGAGATTAAAACATTGTTTTCAATAGTCATGGAATTTGTATATAAGAGACAAGTTATATAGGCTTCATCCACCTAGTTGCTAGATAATGTAATACAAGTACCTCTACAGTGTAGATACTCAAGAATTTGACCTATTTACTTTCACTCAGAAGAAGCTCCTTAATTAAAAAGCAATGAAGAAAAAAAGGAAGAAAATATATCAGAAGAGTATTGCCTAGAGTGGTCATGGTCAAAGTAGGATAAGATCAATGCTAAAGCTATTAATTGTACTTTTAACAAGCTAGAACGTACACATATCTCTCATGAACAAAATTGACCTTGCGATGACAAGGATATAATTTGGAGGCCTTAATTAGTCCAAAGTGGCTAAGAATCCCAAGGCTTTGCTTTGACAAGGATAGCTCCTAGC